AGGGATGACAATGGGGGCTAACTCAGAGACTTTAACTTTCACAGTAACCCCTGGAATGGAGAGGCCACTCATCCTGGGGCTGGGCTGGCTGACAAAATGGAACCCACGGGTGGATTGGAGGAAGGGAGTGTTGAATTTCCCACTGAAAGGAAAGCTCTCATGTCAGGCAGTGCACCTTGCCCAACGGGCCCTCTGCCAAGAAATCAGAGTGACAGCAAAAGGGGAAGACTTGCAAGAGGCTTACTATTGCATAAGGGAATGAGTGGAAGACCACTTTTAACTGCCCTCTAGGCTGCTTCCAATTTAAAATACTTCCCTTTGGCTTACAAGGAGACCCACGGTGTTCATGCAACTGATTAACGATGTGATCCATGAACATCTATACAAGGGGGTCCTAGTGTATCTTGATGACATTTTAATTTATACTGAAACAAAAGTGGAGCATGTGAAACTCGTCAGGCCATTTTAAAGAAGCACCCAAACCCTGAAACCTGATATTCAAGCAGACACCAGTGATGTCGCAATAGGGGCCATGCTATTACAGAAGAATCAGGAGGAGTAACAAGTAAAAAAAAAATCTGACTGAAACCAAGCAATGTTGGGCAGTATGGGAAAAGGAGGTCTATGCAGTCAGATGGGCTCTCCTGTCCTATAAACATTTTCTAGAAGGGATTAAAATCCCATTCCAACTCTTGACTGATCACAAAAACCTGGAAGGTCTGAAAGGTAACCCCCAAACAAGTATGGTGAGCTCAGTACTTCCAATGTTTCAACTTCACCTTAGGCTATTTATCGTGAGAGAAAAACTTCCCGGCAGACTCTCTATCGGAAATGCTGCAATACAGTAGCTCCAAAGCGGAAGCCTCTCCTCATCTCAACTGCCAGCCCAGGTGACCACAAGAGTGCTGCAGAAAGAAAAAAACCCTATGGACAATGCTACTGCAGCAGCATTTAAAGAAGCCCTGGAGGAAGGAAAACAAGTGGTTTAGCAACCACAAGAACGTCTGCTCAATGCAGAACAGGCTGGCCTGGGTGGGTGGAAAACTGTATGTACCTGCCAGCCAGAAGCTAAAAACCATGCAAACTTGCCATGACTCAAAGTTCATGTTGCATTTTGGATTCATGAAAAACCTGCACCTCCTCAAGAGACAGTTCTGGTGCCCTTTGCTCAAAAAGGACATTGAGAGTTATGTTTCCAGCTGCCCTGTATGCATGACCACAAAACGGAGGCAAGGGAAAATGCCAGGGCTATTTCAATTAGTGGCTGAGCCATCAGCACCCAGGAGAAAGATTTCCATGGACTTTATTGTGGAACTTCCAGAAAGCGCAGGAAACACAGTAATTTGGATAGTGACTGATCTTTTTTCCAAGCAGGTACATTTCATCCACTGCCAGAAATTTCCAACCAACCAAAGAATTGGCAAAGATGTTTCTTCAACATGTTTACCAACTACATGAGGCGCTGCAAAGCATCATCTTGGATAGAAGGATCCAATTCACGTCAAAGTTCTGGAGAGCTTTTTTGGACCGCCTAGGTCAGTGATGGCAAACCTTTTAGAGACCGAGTGCCCAAACTGCAACCCAAAACCCACTTATGTATTGTCGGGTGCTGGGAGCATGGCCAACTGGGTGGGTGTGGCCAACTGGGTGGGCATGGCCCATTGGGTGAGCATGGCTGTGGTGGTAATGGCAGACTGGGTGGGACTAAAAAGTTCAATCAATCAATTCCAACTTTGCAAGATCTTTTTTTTCCTGTGAGAAGTTGAAATTGATTGAACCTTTTTTTTTTTTGCACATGACGGTGGAGGCCTAAAGTGAAAAGGTTTTTTAGAACCCAGCTGAATGCCTAGGACTGGGTTGATGGCGCGCATGCCCACAGAGAGGGCTCTGAATGCCACCTGTGGCACACGTGCCATAGGTTCGCCACCACAGTCCTAGGAACTGACCAAGGACTTAGTTCTAGTCACCATCCACAAACGAATGAGGGGACACAATGAATGAACTCTGTTCTAGAGCAGTACCTGTGCGCTTCATTAACTACCAACAGGACGACTGGACCGACCTCCTGCCATTTGCTGAAATAGCATACAATGACGTTGTACACACCAGCACAAGCTTCACATCTTTCTGAGTGGCAATGGGGCAAGATTTTAAACCAATGCCTGAGCTGCCACCTAAAGACCCCACAATCCCCTCCTTAAAAGGATGGATAGATCAGTTAAATAATACCTGGCCCGGGGTGCACAAGGCACTTGCAAAGGCCAGGGCAACTTACAAAACCCAAGCCGATAAAAAGAGTAGAGCCTAAACCTTTTCACATTGGTGACCGAGTATGTTTATCCACAAGGTTCCTACAATCCTTGCAGCTCTCAAAAAAGTTAGGGCCAAAATATGTAGGACTTTTCCCCAGAAAACAAATTATTAACCCAGTCACAGTAAAGTTAGAATTACTAAAATTGTTGAGAAAAGTCCATCCCATTTTCCATTTCAGTCTCCTAAAATGAGAGGTGGTTTCTCCCCTATGGCCAGCACCCCCTCCAGTTCCCAAACCTTTTAGGGCCATCTAATTTGATTCCTTTGACTCCTTTCCAGCTAATTTCTGGCTGTTACCAAGGTCCCGGCACCAGAGAACAATTTGTTATCATCTTTTCGGCTCAGAGTTCTCACAACTTCATAACAGCGGATTGGCTCCAGATGGATTGGGGCAATGGGGTTGGGGTGGACAATGGGAAATTAACTAAATGTTTTCATTCAGGAACTTCAGATTCTGCCTGACTTCTCTGCAATCATTTTCTCTCAGTAAAAGATCCTTTTGAAATAATGCTGTTTCAAGAGTCATGCTTTCCTGAGGAGATAGGTGAGGCAGGGCTTTATAGGCATATTGAAAAAACATGCAAGGAGATAATCATATCTCCACTGTCCTCTGTTTAAATTATAAAATCCATATTTTGTTAGATGCATAAATTCCTTTGTAGATAGAAATAGAAGCGAGATCAATTGACTTCATAAAGTATTAACTATTTCTGGAGATAATCAAAGACAAATTACAGAAAAATATCAATAGAATTTGGTTGATTACGTAATGAGGGCAAAAGAGCACCTTCAAGATGGAACCAGCCTCTTCTTTGATGTCCATCAGTGATTGGTTTCCTGGCTGTTGCCATCTCTTTATTATAAACTAGCTTCTCCCTTCAATCCAAGCATCCAGAGAACCAGCAGATAATTAAACAGAAAATCCTCATTCTATCCTGGGTCTGGCTAAATACAAAAAAAGGAAATCAAAACAAAATTTTAGAAGTCTGTAGCTCAGCCAAACTGAGATTGGTAATGAAAGGCTAGGATCGAAAGAAAAAATAAACTTTAATAAAGTTATCAAGAGAAAATAAATTTAAACATGCAACACATTCAGTAGTGCTTGGTTTTAAAAAAACAACCCTAAAGCAATTCTAACTGAATTAACTTTCAGTCTTGTCTAAGGAAAACCTCTCATCTAGATCTCCACCCACCCTTCTCACTAAAACCACCACATCAGATTCTTCTGTCAAAATCTAATGGAACCCTTCTTTTATTGGCCTTCAGGGATTAGTGACCATCTTTGACACATCAGATTGGCTTTTGATTTAAAAGGCAAGCTGCTCCTCATTACAGGTGGCCATTTTAAAAAAAGATATTTCCAACCTTATCCTTTTAGAAATATTGTTATGTTATGCTATATGTCCCTGTAATCCTCAGATATGGGGAAAATTATTTAAGAAAAGTGCAGTTATGCTAGGAAAATATGTAAATTTGCCTGGAAAAAGTCATACAAAATGAGTAGAAGAGGGGGAATAAGGGAATATGTATGTATGATTTCAGTTCTACTATTAACACATTGCTTACTTCAGTACAAATATATTATTCTCTAGCTACAATTGTGGCTTCCAATTCAACCAAACAATAAATCTTGGTTATCTTTTAGGCTAACCAAGGAAAAATCAACAGTACAACTGTTGTACAATTACAAGTAAGATTAGACAAAGATCCAGAGGAAACATGGTGGAATATATAGATCCAACTTTCCACATTGCTGGGATTCATAAACTGAAACTGATCCAATATAATGCATGAAGAGTTACCAAAAGCTGGAGGGAGGTGGGAAGAGACTTTAAATTAACCTTTAGCTAAACTGTTTCAATCCATCCACTTACTACCAACATTATTTTCTATAAACATCAGAGGACAGGTCTTGTTATGGAGGATGGTTGTATACCTTTATATATTGATTGTATTTTATCAGTAGCGTAAGACACTTTAATTTCTAGAGACATTGGTTAGAATGCAAATTTACTAATGTTAAATAAAAAAATATAGATTGTAAAATGTGATAACATTAAAGCACAAATAGTGCTCACCTCCAATATGGATGGACAACCTCTAGTCAGTCAAATTTACTTTCCAATTGCAGTGCCATTAAAAAGTTACAAACTGGGAATTTTGATTTTGGAGGGGCTTGGACAGATTAATGATAGAGATGTCCAGTTGATCCCCCATGAGTTTCTTTTCCCATTTCTGTATCTTATTTTCATATTTTACTCCCAAATTCTATTACCAAAACTTGGCTATTTTGCCCTAAATTTCAGCAGCACAATTTCAACCTATTTTTAAAGATAGGAATGAGTATTCAACACCCATCTTTCTAGAGGCAATCCATTTTCATGTCTATCCTTATTTTTGCACAAAAAGCTTTTTAAAAATGGCAACACCAAAATTTGGCAATTTACTACCACACTTCAGTGATACAATTTCATGATATTAGGTTGCCTACCATTGCCTTAAGTAATAAATGTAATTTTGTTTTAAAGAAGAATTTTAATTACCATCAATAGGAACAGTTAATAATTTTTTAATTAAAATAGTGTCTTACTTGATTTACTGGTTGAACTCCAATAGAACTTTTTAAATACCTATTGCCATTTCTAAAAGTTCACTGTATCTTTTTAACTGGCCTTTTTATAAACCAGGATGCTGCGCCAACTGAATCTCTGCTAAACTGGCAAGATTATGAAGGACGAACTCCCCTCCATTTTGCAGTTGCCGATGGGAATATAGCTGTGGTTGATCTGCTGACTTCCTATGAAAGTTGCAACGTGTCTTCTTATGATAATTTATTTCGAACTCCGCTTCACTGGGCAGCTTTATTGGGTAAATTATGAATGGTAGAAATTCTTTACCCTTTTGAGCATATTTGCCAATTTTGTGGAATATTGCTTTTCTCAATTAAGACCCTGCATCCTGAGATAGGTAGTAAGGAGGTTGCCTTGAAAAATACAGACAAATATGATCATGAGATCAACTTATATTAACTTAATCCATTGATTCATCCAGTTCAATTTATCTATACATGGATCTTGTATGGGGTATAGCTTTCAGAATCTTCCAAGACCCCAGACTGTCCTTATTGATTGTTTATACTATTTACCCATTTTTATCTGTGTTGGTTGAGTAGAATACAAGGGAGATAATATGAAGGAGAGATTTAAAATTCTGTCCATTTTCTCTTCTACCTACTATTCAGATAAATCACAGGGTTTAAGAAAGTAGTAGTGGAAGGGTAAATGCTATTGAATTAATGACTCTTCCAGTGTTAACTTAATTTTGTTGTCTATATCCACAGATAGAAGCACTTTTGAGTTTTGACAAGTACCCAATAACAGCATCAGTACTATTGTAGCTGGAGAAAGAAACAGAAAATTAAAGAAAAAATGGTTCATTCCCCCCCTTGTCTTACTTAGCTCCTTCAACCCTTTTGAGAAATTGCACTCCTTTAACTCACTACTTTCTAAAATATTCACACAAAATTTTAGTTCTCAAAACATTCCAAAATTTAATGTTAGGCAGCAACAAATCATGCAATTTGCCCTGAAAAGAAGTCGCAATTCTTAATGGCTGGAATGACCAATCACTGTAGATACCCACTCATAGTAATTTGAGCCATGGTGAAAATGAGAAAATGTTATTTTGAATAATTAAATGTATAGCAAAACAGAGGCCCTATTTTCTCCATTTATTGTTTTGAATAATATAAAATCTTTTGCTACCCAGTGTTTTACATTATTAAACATCTGACTTGAGGATCCTTGCAATCATAATTTCCATATTGCTACTTAGTAGGTAAAGCAAAAACTGTACAGCAGAAGATAAATATGAGCAAATGTAGTTACTTAAGGTTTAGTTAATAATATGGGCTAAAAATTTGGACAATGAGTTTTATGAAGGGATTTAAACTGGAAAAACAGATTGCCAAATCGATCATTAATACCATACATTGATTCTTGACAATTCTAGAGAATTAAGAAGCCATGGTATTGTAGTGGTTAGAATGCAGCATTGCAAGCTAACTCTGCCCATAGCCAGGAGTTTGATTCTAACCAACTCAAGATTGTTGGGGGCAATATGCTGACATTTGTAAACTGCTCAGAGAATCTTGCAAAACACTGTGGAGCAGTATATAAGTGCTATTGCTGTTTTATAAATAGCTGAATGCTATATTATTCAATCAATTGTTCTGGACTTGATCAGACTTCTGGTCTATATTTTTGTAAATCAGTTTAACCTCTTTCCACAAAGAGAATGCAACTCTTTGAAGAGTCAAGGTGGGATATATCTAAGCTTCAAGATGAAAGATGATGACTTACCTCATAATGCAATAGCACTTAGTTTTATATAGAATCTTATAATCAGACTTTTTTAAAGCTAGCCATTTCAAACTGTAACTTTTGAAAATATCTTCATTTTCTTATGAAATGAAGGAATAAATATTTTTTTAAAAAAGGCTGGAAAACACTTGAGTTAGGAAAGCAGTTTGGAAAAGGGATAAGCAGTCAGAAGAGTTTGTTCTTGAATTACATTTTCAGGAATGAGATTCAAAAATAATTTTGCCCCTATGGATTTGATTTGGAGAACGAGGCTTTCATTTTTCAGTGCAAGTGTTTGGTTGAGGTAGATTTGGTCTTGGTATTGCAAGTTTTGTTATGTAGAGTCAACTAAAGGGCTTATGCTCTCACTGCATTTTTAATAATAAAATTATTATGCTCTCAGACAAATATAAAAATGCATTATATTGGTTCAAGTAATAACAATAAAATAAGAAATATAAAGGTTACATAAGTTTACATATAATCATTACAGCAATAATAAAAGGGAAGAACACCAATATTCATTTTCATTCACTTTGTTTTATTAACAATGCTACGCCCATTAAGTTATCAACAAGATGTTGCTATTTACCATGTGAATTTACAACCCTCACCTGCAAATAAATTGTTCCTATAAAAATTACAATTCTTGGTTTTAAGGTTCTGTGATGGTGTAACAGATATGGCAATAGAAGAGTCAAAACACAAAGAGATAACCAGTGTTGCTGTATATCTGCCCCTCATTCATAGAGTTTTCCATTGAGGGGAGTATTCATATATTTACTCTTACAAATTCCTAAAGAACTAATGAGAAAAAGTGAACACTGTTATTCTTTGGTAGAATCAGCTATTTCAGTGATGGCGAACCTTTTAGAGACCAAGTGCCCCAAAACCGCCCCCCCCATCCCTGTCCTCACTCTGCTGTGCCATCCAACACCTCCACGACCCACTACAGATCACCCAGGCAGCCCAGCAGCACCATGGCGGCCATGCCCTCCGCCCATGCGCGATGGGGCGCAAGGGTGGAGTCTTGTCCTCGCTGCCCGGCTACCATGTCCTTGGCTGCGCTGCTTTGTGTGGGCCATGCCCGGGGGCGATTCTCCAGGGGGCTGCTGGTGAGGAGGCCGTAGGAGTAGGCGGGGCTGGGGTGATGGTGGCATGTGCCCACAGAAAGGGCTCCGAGTACCGCCTCTGGCATGCGTGCCATAGGTTCGCCACCACTGAGCTACTGTATTTGATAACTCATGTTACCTGGAAATTGTGTGACCAAATTTGACCTTTGCACTTAGAAAGATTCTATCTCAGCCTACCTGTATCTGGATCACTAAGTGCCTGTTTTAATATCCCTCCCCCTTGCTTGTCAATCCCCACCTCCTCAAAGATGGGGAATAAAGTCTATTCTGTGGCATATTTTGCTCAACATTCATTTTCTACAATACATGGAAAGGTTAAAGAGTGTTAAAGAGACTGCCTTGTTGTTCAGCATGAAGTTTTAGTTAAAAATTAAACATGCTTTTCCAGTTTCCATTCCATGTGCCTCTAAGCAGAGTCCTCTGCATTCATTTGATTCATCTGAAGAGTTGCTTGGCATTGTGACCTAAGCAGATCTCTGCTGTATGAAGTTTGCCAGAATTTCCAATGGGCTCATAAATAATCTTAGATTTAGGCATCTCATATTTATTTTGTCTGGATCCAATTCTAATTTTAATTAAACTAAGTATTATTTAAACTAGACTTTTAAATTTAATTTCTCTCATAATAGAAAAATATAATGCTCATCTGTTAGAATAAAAATGTAAGTAGTCCTCAATTTATAACTATTCATTTAGTTATAACAGTACTGATAAAAATAACTTATGTTCTTCTTTCACACTTATGACTCTTGCAGCACCCCCATGGTCATGTGATTAAAATTTAAATGCTTGGCAACTGGCATATATTTATAATGGTGGCAGTGTCCTGGGATCATGTGGCCACCTTTTGCAACCTTCTGACAAGCAAAGTCAATGGGGAAGCCAGATTCATTTAACTGTACTACTAACAATTGCAGTGATTCACCTAATAACTGTGGCCAGAGAGGGCAATTGGGCAAGACTCACTTAACAACTGTGTTGCTTAATAATGGAAATTTTGGGCTTGATTGGGGTCATAAGTTGAGGACTACCTATATATTGTTCATAAATATGTGCTTTTTCTTCTTTTGATTTTTAGGTCATGCACAGATTGTCCATGTTCTTTTAGAAAGAAACAAAGTTGGAACAATCCTTTCTGATAGTCAAGGGGCAACACCTTTACATTATGCAGCACAAAGCAACTTTTCTGTAAGTGAGATAAATAGTTTATTTGAAAATGTCATAACATTGAATCTTTTTAATTAGTCTAGTTATTAAGACTGTGTTTTTTCATATTAAAGATTGTGAAGAAACAGTATTTTTTAAGGTGAAAGTTGTATTTGCTATCATTTCATTTGTTCCAATGTTCTTTTTGATTGGAAAAATTTCTGAGACAAACTATGTTTTCCTTCTTGATATATTTAAAACATAGAAAATATGGATGTATACAAAAAGAAAAAATTATTTTATGAGGCTAACTTGAAGGGAGTGATCTAAATCGGGGGTCCCCAAGCCCCAGTCCGCAGACCAATACTGGTCCACGGCCAGTTAGGAACCGGGCCATGCAGTTGGAGGTGCGCTATTTTTATCTTAAGCACTGCATCTCCAAGGGAATTCTCTCTCATCTGCACCTTTTCTAAGACTGCTAAGCTCCGTTGCACTTCAACTGGAGTTTTTTGCTTTTGTTTTGATGTTCCAGGTGCCTCGTGTTTTGGCAACATCCTCCCTGCTTTTCCTGGTTTAATTTGGTGTGTGTGTGTATGTGTGTTCCTTCTTTCTTTGTGCAGCTCTCCAAGTTTGCCAGCCAAATGCACTTCTACCCAGCTTGCAATTGGAGAGGGGGGAGGGGAGAAGCTATATTTCCCCTTAAGCACTGTGTCTCCAAGGGAATCCCTCTCTCATTTGCACCTTTTCCAAGACTGCTGGATTTGTGCAGTGACGAGTTGGTTTGGTCTCTCTCTCCCTCTCTTTTTCTCAGCACTTCCTCAACATGCTGGGTCTTTTGGTTTGTTTTGCTGGAAGGCTGAGTTTAGGATTGTCTCTTTTCCTTCCCACTTTATTAGAAACAGAAAGTCACTGGTCTAATCTAATACAATGTAATAATAACAGAAATAAAGTTTATTATTTATTTCTTTGTTTGTCTATTTAGAAAATTTACAATAAATATAATGCACTTGAATCATCATGAAACCCCCTCCCCCTGGTAAAATTTGTTAATATAAATGGTACTGGTTTATAAAGATTATTAAGTGCAATTAGAAATATATATAATTTCCACAGCAAGGAAGATAACGCAGAAATGGTTAAATTGATTGTTTTATTCAAAGAGGAGAATATATTTAATTATGTTTTTTATTTGGATATCACTTCTGGATTTTGTGCTTGTGATAAAAAATGAAATTTTGGTTTCACTGCTTAGAAAGATTTGTTGTTATAGAAATGGCTAGTTATATGCTAATGTGTAAAAGTAAAAAGTTGAGGCTATAATGTTGTTGTACTGTGCTAAGTAGAGTTGAAAGTCAATGCTTTTTTTTCTTTTTTCCCTTGTACCTCATATTTTCTTTCCCCCTCTTTTTTCCTTCACTTAATTTTATATTTTTTATTTTTCTTTGTATTTTATACATTGGTAAAACAATGAAAGTAATGAGATTAAAACAAATAAAATAGAATATAGAATAAGAGGGTTGAAAGTGATTTTGGAGGTCTTCTAGGCCAACTTCCGTCTGTGGCCAGAGATCCTATACCAGGGGTAGGCAACCCAAAACACTCAAAGAGCCACTTGGACCCATTTCTCACCAAAAACAAAACACTGGGAGCCGCAAAACCCTTTTGATATCTAAAATGAAGCTAACACTGCATATATCCTTTTTTACCTTTATTATAAGTGTGTGTGTGTATAATAAAGGTAAAAAAAGGATATATGCAGTATTATCTTCATTTTAGATGTCAGAAGGGTCTCTCTCTCTGTGTGTGTGTGTCTCTCTTTCTCTCCTTCTCTCTCTCTCTTTCTCTCCCTCTCTCTCTCTCCCCCCTCTCTCTCCCTCTCTCCGATCTTCTGCTTACCTGGCAAGCTGGCTTCAAGCTGTTCTCCAACAAACTCAGAGGTAGGCAACCTCGGCTGTTTTATGACTCATGGACTTCAACTCCCAGAATTCCTGAGTCAGCATACTGGGCTAGCTAGCTCTCTCCTGCCCTTCCTGTTTCCTGCTTCCTGCAGAGACGCAGCAAAGGGAGGAGCTCAGCCCAATAAGCTTTTCATCTCCTCGGAGAACACTGTGAGTCCACTCTCTTTTTTACACACAAAGAGAGAGAGAGAGAGAGAGAGAGAGAGAGGCGCAAGTGCCTCTCTGTGGGGAAAAATGCATGCGCAGCAAACTGCCGTGCTTTCCCCCCCCCCAAACCTCATAACCTTTTGATACCCTTTGTCCTAATGAAGCAGCCAGAAGTTCATATCCTTTTGACTTAATGCCTTATCTACCTAAATATATAATATGCTTAAGTTACTTCCTATCTTTTCCTGCCTTTGTTAGTTCCTTCTTCTATTTGCTTTTTACCTGATCTTTGACCATGTAATGTGTTACTAGAAAATAGTTGCTTACATGAAGACATTTTCCAATGAAGAAACCTTTGTCAGCATTTAATGATAAAGCCTATGTATGTAACAAGTATATAAGAAGCAATAAACTCAGAGTTTGTCAAGCTGTGTCCTGCAGCTTCAAACCTCTGCTCAAGACATGCCTGCATCTTTTTCTTAGCGTCTTGCACCTCTCTCTATCTCTGTCTCTCTCTGAAAATGGCAAAGGAGGCTGGGAGCTGCAGGGGAAAGCTCAAAGAGCCACATGCGGCTCCGGAGCCGCAGATTGCTGACCTGTGTCCTATACCATTCCAGATTTTCTTTGAATTGATAGGATGGATACCCATGATCATAGAAAGAATAACAGAATAATAGAATAGAACAATAGAATTGGAAGGGATGCCAGAGGTCCTCCATCCAACCTTCCATCCAAGCAGGAGATCCTATATCATTTCAGACAAATGGCTGTCCAGTCTCTTCTTAGAAATCTCCAATGATGGAGCACCCACAACTTCTGGAGGCAAGCCATTCCATTAGTTAATGGTTTTCACTGTCAGAAAGTTTCTCCTTAGTTCTGGATTGCTTCTCTCCTTCATTAGTTCTATCCATTGCTTCCTATTCTGCCTTCAGGTGCTTTGGAGAATAATTGACCCTTCTTTGTGGCAGCCCTTTAAATATTAGAACACTGTTATCATGTCACCCCTAGCTCTTCTTTTCTCTAAACCAGCCATATCCAATTCCTGCAACCTTCTTCATATGTTTTAGTCTCCAGCCTCTTAATCATCTTTATTGCTCTTCTTTGTACTCTTTCTAGAGTCTCAATATTTTATCATATTTTGGTGACCAAAACTAGGTAAATATTCTAAGTGTGGCTGTCAGAACCCACATGTTGGGAGGGGGCCTTTCTTTTTCTTTCCTGCAGGTTCTGTCATTCTCCTGGAGGTAGGGGAGAACTATGGGAATTACAATGTATTTTCTTCACTTCACTTCAGCCACTACAATGTATCCTCTCTGCTTCATCTATTTGCTTGCTCTTTGAACCGTTTCCCCTTGATGCCACCCTGGGGGTGAGAAAGGAATGTGCCTCCGGCCATCTGGCTTATCTCTCATTGTGGAAGACTAGGTACGAAGACCTAACAACATCTTCACAGCTTTGGGAACAGCACCTTATCAGCCCCGTTCCCACAGCAGATTCAACACCAGGGGATTGGCCCCTTTGAACTGACCGGATGGACTATTGGGGTGGAGTTTGCTTCTTGCTCTTTTAACCTATTGATTCACGTGGAAACCCCTCAGATCCTGCCTTCTGTGCCTGCTGTCAGCTTCTCCTAATAAAAGATCTTTTGGGGATGAAATCGTTCCAAGAGTCCTGCTGTCTTGGGAAGAGGTTTGGAAGCAGGTCCTTACAGTGGCCTTACCATGGCATTATAAAGCAATACTTTACGTGATCTTGATTTTATTCTTCTATGACTAGGACTGCATTGGCTTTTTTGGCAACATGCACACACTACTGGCTCAGAATTAAGTGGTTGTCTACTAGGACTTATGAATTCCTCGTGCAGTTACTTGTGTTGAGCCAAGTTCAGTATTCTATACCTGTGCACTTGGTTTTTCTTGCTTAAGTGAAAAACCTTACTTTTTGCACAATTGAATTTCATTTTGTCAGATAGAGCCTAGTGTATAGAGATCCCTCTGTATTTTGAGCCTATCTTCTGGAGTGTAAGGATCTGCCTCAACTAGATCTCCCAAGAAAGCAGAACTCTTGGAACAGGCATTGTATCATAAAGGAATTTTTATTGAGAGTTAGTGACAGCAGTAGAGCAAAGCAAGGTCTGAAGAATTCATACATAAAAGGTGACATCATAATGCCCAGATAGAACTCTTCCATCCAGTTTCCAATCGTCTGGTTGAAATCCAGCCAATCCATAGGTGCTATGTTGTTTTGAAAATCTGGTGATTTAGCACCCATTTCAAGGTCTCTCTCAGTTTCGTTTCTCAATGGTCTCAGGAAATAAATAAATGAATGAATGAATGAATGAATAAATAAATAAATAATTGTCTGGAAATAAGGCAGATGTCTTCAGGCCACATTCCTTTCTCATGGATAGAGGCACTTTCACAGAGGACAGAGCAGAACAAGGCAGAGCAAGACAAATACATTCCCCAGCCCCCTCCCACCAGAATGGCATACCCCAAAACAGAGTTCAGAATAATAGAAGGTATGCAAGCAAATTAGAGGGTCTGACATACGGCCGCCCCTAATAGAACAACAAATCCACCTGTAAAACAAAATAGGGAAGGGAAAGAGAGGGAAACAACCACATTTATCAAGTTTATCTGGATAACATGTATGAAACTGCTTGAGTAATCTGGGGGCTCTAACGTGTTTTTTATAAATCCACTTGTTTTGCGAGGCAGGAAGATCTTTCTAGGCAACCAAATACTGAGTACAGTTGTGATTTTTGCGAGAGTCTAAAGTGTCTTTGATCTCAAAGTGCTGCTCACCCTCCACCATAATGGGCGGTGGAGGAGGAATGGTGGCACGCCTTAACGCAGATGTAATTTCAGGTTTCAGCAAACTGCAGTGGAAAACTGGGTGGATTTGACACAGGCTCTTAGGGAGTTCTAATTCTAC